CTGGCGCCCGGGAAAGGTCCGGTCCCGTCGTGGGGCCCCGGGTGTGACTTCGGGGTCCCAGATGCCACCACCGCAGGCCTCCCCTTCAGAATAAAAGCCTGGCTCATGCTCTGGTCTGAGGCCCCGGGGTGTCCGGACGGGGGGTACAGGCAGGGTCACGGGGACCTCCGCCGGCCCGGTCTCCTCGCCCGCGTTTGCCCGGTGCTCGTGTTGGTCCTCGGCAGCCGCGGAAGAGAACAGAAGAGCACGTTCCTGGCACCGCAGCGCCCCAGGGGCCTCGTTCTGAGGGTCCCGCTCCTGTCCCCAGTGCTCCAGTCGACATTGGCGGCACAGACGGCCAGGTAGGGTTTCCACCCCGCCTCACCAGGGCCGTCTAACAGTCAGTCGCCGACCGGGCTGCGGAAGGCGTCCTGGGTGGGCTGCCCGTTCTGGGTTTCATTGCCTGTTCCCCAGCTGGGGCAGCCCTGCTAATAAACTTGCTTGAACTTGAGAGTGTCCTGCCTCAGCCTCCTGCGGTGCTGGGATTACAGCTCGGTGGCTTGGACTCAGTTGGCGGCCCTGTCCCCGGGCTCCTCCTGCGGGGCTGGGGGGGGAGCTGAGTCACCGTCCTGCGACCCCACCGCCACGGGCAGAGTCGGGGCTCGTGCCTGGGATAAGGGGAGCTTGGGTGTCACAGGAGAACCAGGGACCCCAAATGCCCCTGGGGAGCCCCCCAGATGTCCCAGAAATCCTTCAGATGCCCCAGGGAACCCGCAAATGCCCTGGGCACCCTCTGAAGTCTCTAGAGACCCCAATATGTCCCAGGGGTCCCCCAGACCCTCCTGTGCACCCTCAGACGTCCCGGGGGACCCTCAGATGCCCTGGGAGATCCTCAGATGGCTCAGGGGACCCCCCAGGTGCCCCCCCGGGAACCCTCAGAAGTCCCCGGGACGTTCGATGTCTCCGGGAACCCGTGGACGTCCTGAGGGACCCCCACATACCCCTCCTTGCGAGGCAGGGCCCGTGTGGACCAGAAGCACTAACCCTTGTGCCGCGATGACCTTGCGGCCCCAGGAGTCAGGAGGAAACCAGCAGCCGGCGAGGGGCGAACCAGCCTGTCTCTGACATACACCACTCTTCTGTCTCTGGGAGGCTGAGGCGGGAGGATCTCACCTTCCAGCCCAGCCTGGCACGTTGGCCCAAGAGAGACCCTGTCTCAAAGTCTAGGCTGCGATGGGAGCTGCACGAGCCCGGCGGGCAGGGAGGGAAGCCGTGCTCCGGAGACAGCGGCTCTGGGCTGATAACAGCGAGGGGCCCTGCCCAGCCTATCAGGCCTCATCTGTGCGGTCAGGGTCACCCAGCTTCCGTGACGGAGGGAGGGAGCCGCTCTCACGCCTGCCGCGCTCCCCCCCACCCGGTGCCCTGCACGGAGCCTGGGGACAAAGCTCAGACCGCAGTCGCCTCGTGCCCAGCCTGGAGCCCTGGGATGGGCCGGGTAAGCCGGGTCCCTGCGTCCCTCAGGAGGCCCTGGGGCTTCCGTGACTGACAAGCGGGGGCCAGTGGGGCTTCAAGGAAAACGCCGCCCTTGCTTTGTTTATTTGGAGTCGGAGATGGGGTCTGGCTGCGGAGCCCAGGCTGGCCTGGAACCTGGGGAGACCCTCCTGCCGCAGCCTCCCGAGTGCTGGGATGGCAGGTTCGCGTGTGTGCGTCCGTACGTCTGTCTCTCTCTTCTGTCTACTCTGTCTCTGTCTGTCTCTCCCTCTCCTCTGTCTCTATCTCTCTCTCGTTCGCTCACTCTGATACCCACACAATACCTGTCATCCCAGCACTTTAAGGAGGCCGAGGCAGGAGGTTCACAAGTTTGAGCTCAACCTGGGAAATTTAGAAGCAACTTAGGAAAACCGTGTGTCCAAAAGTGAAAAATCGAAAGGGGCAGGGATCCACCGGCGGATCCACAGAGCCACCGCCACGACGTAGCCTGGCGCAGAAGTGCGTACCTGCCGTTCCAGCTACTCAGGAGGCTGAGGCAGGCGGACTCCAAGTTTGAGTCTCCTGTGGGCAACTCGGTCAGGCCTCTCTGTGTCAAAGGAGCCAGACCAGAGGGCCGGGGAACGGAGCTGCAGGGGAGGCTGCTGCTGGGTTCCCTTCCTGGCACCTAGGAAGGGAGGGAGGAGAGATGGGAGGGGGTGGTCGTCGGGGACAGGCTGAGGCAGGACAGCTCCTGTCGGGGGTTGGAGCTCAGCCCCGACACCTGGTTTTTCTTCCATTTTAGCTCCAGCTCTGTGGCCTCCGTATGGCCCCTGTGCCAGAGCTGCTGTTGCTCTTGATCCTTCTGTGGGCGACCAGCCACTCAGGAGATGCCGCGCTGGGTAGGTGCTGGGTACTGGATGACGGGTACTAAGTGCTGGGTGCTGGGTCTGGGTACTAGGTGCTGAGTACTGGGTGCTGGGTGCTAGAGCCGGGATCCCACTCGGTGGATCGGCCATGGCCCAGTCCACAACCGGCTCTGCGCTGCGCCTCCCGGGTCCCCCGCAGGGCCGGCTCGGGACCAGGGCTCCCCGATCTCAGACCTGCAGCTGCACCCGAGGCTCAAGATGCTGACTTGGACCTGCAGGCGCCCCGCGATCCCCCAGGCCTGCGTGGTA